AAAAAGCAATGCTAATGAAGAACAGAACTGGTCAAATTTGTTTCAAAAACCTAAAGCGGTAACACATTCCTAAAAACTCACGTCCACTTCAAATCGCGCACCCTACCCGTGCCGACTTGCGATACAGTAGAACCGACTGCTGTCTTCCCTTTGCTAGTCACCTTGCAACCTTGGTTTGTGGGGTCAGCATTGGCTTTCGCTGCATCCGCGTACGCTTTCGGCGGATTCAGGTTCGGTTTCTTGCTCCCTTTGGCGGGGCTGATAACGGAGGCTATCTCTGCTTTCCGCTTTCCGCAATGCTCATTCAAGCATGGAAAGGCGGCTCCAGGCATCTTAATATAGATAACAATGTTGAGAGCGACAGAAAGTGGATCACGAAATATACACCCTTTCCAGTGGCGCTTGCTGACCAGCCAGCAGTGTTCAACATTTCACCCAGTCTCTATTCAGTACACTGATCGAGCTACCAAGCTGATCAGTGGAACAGAGAATGCTGTTGTGAAAACCTACAAAAGGTTTGCCATCCATAATCCGTACCATTTGAGCCCCTTCTTCTTGTCTTGACTGTTTTTTATCCACCCTTTACAGTGGCACTTGCTGGCTAGGCAGCGGTGTTCACCTTTTCACCCAGTCTCTAGTCAATACACGGATTGACCTACTAAGCTTGATCAGTGGAATCGTAAGGCTTCTGGTGAAACCCTACTCGAGGTTTGTCACACGTAATTATAAACATGAAAGCTCCATCATTTTTACTGTAACTGTTTTCATCCACTAAGCCTTCGTGCACATGCTGACCAGGCAGCAGTGTTCACTATTACACCCACTAGCCATTCAGTACACTGGTCAAGCTACAAAGATGATCAGAGGAACAGAAAATGTTCTGGTGAAAACCAACACAAGGTTCGTCACCCATAATCGTAACATTTTAGCTCCTTCATATGTCTTAATCGTTTTTCATTCACCTTTCCCAGTGGCGCTTGCTGAACAGCCGGCGGTGTTCACCTTCTCACCCAGTTTCCAATCAGTTCACTGATTGAGCTACCTAACTTGATCAGTGGAATAGTAACGCTTCTGGTGAAAACCTACTCGCGGTTTTCAGTTGTAGATCTAAGTTTTTGTCTTGACCCGGTCTCTCTTCATAGATATTACACTGCCTGAGTGTAAATGCTCACGGAGTGGAATTTCAAATCCCACGCTGAATGTCTTCCAAGACTACATTACCAAATCTTATCTTTTTACTTCATTTTCGATATCATTCTTAATAAACATTACCAATTTCGCCCAGATTAAATCTCTTTTCATAGACAGTACACTGCTTGAGTGTAAAAGCCCAAGAAGTGGAATGCAAATCCCACGGTGAATGTCTTTCAAGACTACCGCACGCAATCCCATCCCTTTTTAGTTGTAAATCTCCATTTCTGTCTTGACCTGATCTCTCCCCATGGACGGT